AGCTGCCCTCACATCTTCCCACCACCACCCACTTGTGCACCAGGCTACATACAGCTCTACCCTATGCCATGGCCTGGAGGCAGCATCCCCCCACCCCCTTCAAGCTGCGGCTCTACCTCAGAAGGGAGGTAGGATGGTAGGCAGCACAGGCGGCCTGAGGGGAGTGGTGGCAGCTGGGCCATGGTGGCAGGGTAGAGCTGCTGTCCTCCACCCACAGTTCCCAGATTGGGACTGAGGGGTACCAGCAGGGATAGGGGTATGGAAGGCTGTGGGTAGTGAGTGAGGGGCACCGACAGGGCCCAGGGGCTGTTTTCTACTTAAACTATTTACTGGGTAGGGACTGGCCATCAAGGTTTACAAATGGGTCCTGGTACAAATAAGGTTGAGAAACATGAACCTAACCAACACCCTGCTAAAGGCAGTTCAGACAAGGATGATTCTGTCTTAGACGAGTGTTTTTCCTGACCTGCATTTTAAATATGTCCGAGGAAAGAGATTCCACAATCTCTCTAAATAATCTGTTCCAACAATTAACCACACCCAATCTGACAGTCACTCCCAACCGGCTTTTCTATTATCCTGACAGCCAGCACTAATATCCAATTAAGTCTCCTTTGCTACAATTTATTCATTAGATAGATAGATAGAATATATATATGCTGCCCTTCCCAACAAAGGCTCAGTACAAAATAGCTTACAAAACAAATGAGCAAGAGCACAAAGCCAGATCAACACAACTTATAAAAGCCAAAAGAGTATTAAAATACAGTTGTTCTCCAACGGCAGAACAGTTGTTCACCAGGGCTCCCCAAGGAATAACCAGGTCTAACGGCTACTAACTTTTGCAAGGCCAATTTAGACTGGACATAAGGAAAAACTTCTTTACGCTCCGAGTGTCCAGGGTCTGGACCAGACTACCCCCAGAGGTGGTGCAAGCACCTACTCATTCAAATGGCCTTTGGATGCCTATCTTGCAGGGGTCCTTTGACCCCAGCAGACTTCCTGCCTATGGGGGGGCTGGACTCGATCTTGCAAGATCTCTTCCAGTCCCTAATGGCTATGAATCTATGAAAATAATCCAAGTAGCAAAAACCCCTAAGAGAACAGTCCACCACCATCCTCTTTCCAACAACCCTTCCAGTATTTGAAATTTACCAATTCCCCCCTCAGTCTTCTCTTCTCCAGACTAAATAATCCCAGCTCTTCTAACTTTTCCAGACCTTTAATAATTTCTGTTGGACTCTTTCCAATTTGTCCACATCTTTCCTGGAGTACTACATCTGGTTTTGAGCACAGCCCTTCAAAAGGAGTTTCACCAGTGCTGAACAGAATGGAAGAATCACTGCCCTCAACTTGCAAATGATATTTCTGTTAATACAGCCCAGTAACTCCCATTATTCTACCACATATTAGATGCTCTAATAAACTGGCTGAACCAACCAAACACTCAAAGCTCAAAGGGATATCAAATTACTAAAGAAAGCTAAAGAAAATCAGAAAGCTGCAAAGAAGGCTTTAACTCGCATGGGGTCAGAGTGTGGCAAAGTGGAGATATGTAGTTTCCTAACTGGGTGAGAGTTCCTGACCTAAAGTACCTTTCACAAGCAACCCACTGACTGTTCTCATGTGAAAGAGCAAAAAAAAAGCATTAAAATCCAGAGCTCCCTGTTGTGGAGCATGAGCAAGTTAGTATACTGGAACCAATACTAGGATTCTTCTTTCATGCCTACATGATCCAACCAGTGTCCAGATACTAGCCCAGACAGCAGGGGTAGAGTATGCCCAGGTTTTCCCCGGACATGTCTTCTTTTTTCGCACCCCCACTCCAGTGCTGTGTCCAAGCAGGTTTTTAAAGTAAGAGCCAAATGTCTGGATTTTTTGCTGCTCCTCTGCTCTCCCGGGCAGGCTGCTTGGGGATTGGCTGTTGGTGGTCATGTGCTCCCTGCACAGGCTCCAGCAAGATAGCGAGGAGAGAACAAGAGCAAAATGTGGGAGCTGCTTGGGCAGCAAGGCTAGGGGGCAGGGGTTTGTGGGTCAGGAGTGAGGGGCACTGCCAGGGCTGGGGGGAGGGGGGGGCAGCTGGTGATGCAGATCAGGAGTGAGGGGCATGGGGGATGGGACAGATGACTGTGGGGTAGGCATGCAGGGCACTGGCAGCACCAGGGGACTGTGGGTAGGGAGTGAGGGGCACCAGCAAGGGGTGGGGGACAGGTTACTGCTGTTTGGAAGTGAGAGGTACTGGCAGTGCTTGGGGCGGGTGGTTTGTCAATGAGGGGCAACAGGATAGGCAGGGCACCGGCATATCGCTGCTGCCCCCCATCATATTCCCCCTACCACTTCATTCCCCAGACAGGTGTCTGCTTTTTGGGACCTGGAAATATGGTAACCTTGCCAGATAGACACACTCTCAGAGTGAAGATTCCAAATCTGTCACCTTTTCCAGGATGTTGGATCGTACAGTCCAAGTGCCCTAGTCCTGAAAAGCAGTGCTCATCCCCACAGACTCCCCGTACCTTACACATGCACACCAGCATTCCACCTTTGTAGCTACTTGAGCTTTTTGTTTAACTGTCAGAAAGGCCACAGAGGATTGAACAGAGAATTCACAAAGGTACTTTTGAATCCTGCACGCCTTCCTCAGGGAGAAGGCGCAAGAGATATACAGCTCTATGGAAAAAACAAACAGCAGTGCACAAGACTCTTCCTCACCGTCCTCAGAGTCTTTTGGGGCCTCTGAAGAGTCCAGGATCCTTCTAGCACCCCTCCTCTTCCTGCTTAGCCTTCTTTTTTACTTCCAATCTCCACTTGCTACAGATATTCTCCTTTTAAGAGCAGGCTTTTTCACATCTGCATGCTTCCCATCTTTCCCATTACTCTATACACAGGGACAAGAAACAATGAGTCAGTTGTGCCGACCACTGGACAAACACAAAGAAAGAACACACACACACATATACAACAGCAAAACAATTCTGACATCAAGACCTGTCAAGTGTTAGTGTTAGGCTGACTACTGCCTGCAAATATGTAAAATCATGCAAAACTAATCATTTTTCTGCATCAGAGTCCCTACACTACAGTGCTGCCAGCAAAGCCCCTCACCTAAGCAGAGACTTGTCTTACCCAATGAAGTTTTTCCAGTGCAGCTTAGAACACAACCACAATGATAGCTCCTGTGGGAGCAGAACCCGTCTGTATGCCAGGCGAGTTACACTCTCTCTGCCAAATGGAGCAAGGCTGCTACTCCATCCCGCAGCCAACAGGTGTACATAGACATCCTTACACACACTGCTGCTGAACAGACAGTGGCAGCCAGCTGGAGCCTCCCCAGAGAATTTCATGCTTCGCCAGCACAGCTGCAGAGGGGAAGAAGTGCCGAGTTATCAACAGCACATGGGTGTGCGCAGACTCTGGCAGCATAGCAACAGTGACTGCTCCCTGCTGTTAGAAATTCTAGCAGCAGAGACAAATAAATGTAGGTGAACCTTGGCCAAAAGAGTTATTCTTCCTGCACAGCTACACTACCTTCGAGAACAATAGATGCTAAGCCAGCAAATGCCTCTTTTGCCAGCATAGCTGTATCCATACCAAAAGTTTTGCCAGCACTGCTGTATCAGCTAGGCAGTGCAGTCTTTTCACACCTCTAGGGACATACCTATGCTTGAAAAACTCTGCAGAGTAGATGAAACCTAGGTTAGCCCTTAGCACCAGTGTAGCAGATTTCAGAAGTCAATAGATGAAGATACATATAATAAACACATCTCCCACACTTCACACAAGAGTCCATGGATAATATTTAGCAACTTAAGTTTTAAATGTATCATCTTAAGTCACTAGGACATCAATACTTTCCCTTTGGCATTTAGCCATGCCACATTAAAATAAAATACTGAAAGCGATACTGGGCCACCCAAGTGTCCATCTAGCCCTGTAGCCCATGTCCAACAATGGCTGGGGTACTCTGACCAGGGTCCCCCTCTTAGAGCACTAGTTATGAATCTCTAACCCCCTCCCCCACAATTCTTTCCCCACTTGTTTCATTCCAAGGAATCAATTGTTATGCATTAGTTGCCTCCCTAAGTAAGGGAAGCTCATAGCTATTTTAGTGAGCGTGTGGCCACTGTTACTTCATTGCAAAACAAACAGGCCTGCCGTGTGTTCTTTGCTGCATGTCCCCCACTTCAGACCACTTGTTATGAACCTATGAAGTCAACTCCCATCCCTGTTTTCTCATTAGCCATCCCCAGTACTCAGTTATTATGCATTCACTTGCCCCCCTAAGGAAGGTGCAGAGGTTTATTTTCCCCTCCTGCTCCCCCAGCTACAGAAAGGATGGGCACAGATTGGAGAGAGTCCAGCAGAGGGCAACAAAAATGGTTAAGGGACTGGGGCACATAACCGCTGAGGAGCAGCTGAGGGAACTGGGCTTATTTAATCTACAGGAGAGAAGACTGAGGGGGGATTTAATAGCAGACTCCAACTACCTGAAGAGTGGTTCCAAAGAGGATGGAGCTAAACTGTTCTCAGTGGTGGCAGATGACAGAACAAGAAGCAATGGTCTCAAGTTGTAGCAAGAGAGGCTTACATCGGATATAAGGAAAAACTCTCTCAGGAGGAGGACAGTAAAGCACTGGAACAGGATACCCAGAGAGCTTGTACACTCTACATCCTTGGAGGTTCTTAAGACCCAGGTAGACAAAACCTTGGCTAGCATGGTCTCATTGGGGACGGTCCTGCTCGGAGCAGGTGGTTGGAAAAGATGACCTCCTGAGGTCCCTATCAACCCTAGTTTTCTATGATTCTATAGTTTTGTTAGTTGGCTTTGGCCCAACATCCCCCCACTTGCACAAGAAACAGGTCCATCTCTAACAGCAGAAAACAGCAGCTGTTTCAGAGGAAGCGCATCAGGAACAAAGCACAGGTGGAAGCAGCCCATGCCCTATCATCGTCACACCTGTTGCAAGCCTGAAGATGCCTGGAGCCTGAGGCCTTGGCTGTGAAGTTCCATAACCCCGCCACAGACCCAACCTCCAAATGCCTGGCCCCTCGTCAGGGAACTAAATCTTTGCTCTGGGTGATACTGCTGGCTTCTGCATGGCAGCGCCTTTTACACCTCACCTTAAAAATAAAAAAAGAAGGAACTTGCTTGGTTTCTTTTAAGCCGGCTGCTTGGCAATTTTTCCCTTGGGCCCCTGTCACCTTGCCTGGGCTGGACAGATAATTGCAGACAATGAGAGGACCTCAGGAGGGCACCAAGCCCAGCCCCCTGTTCAGAGCAGGACCGTCCCCAACTACATCATCTGTCAAGGCTTCGTCAGTGTTGCCAGGTGCACGATAATTGTATTTGTACAATCATTTCAACTCTTGTACGATGAACAATAGATAATGCTAAAAGTGTTCAAAATGTATGATTTTTTTTTGTGTCATTAAATTTCAGAAAAATGTGCTGGGCTCCTTTGACCCCTTCTGCTTGTCTGTGCAGGTTATGCTGAGCCTTCGCAGCTTTGCGCTTCAGCCCACCTTGGAGATGCCAGGCGGTATGGGTGTGCGCCAGGCTTGTTATGAGAATATCAATGTGCACGTGTGTGTGTGTGTGTGTGTGTGTGTATATATATATATGTACGTACATGTGTGTCTACGTATTCTCCCAAAGGAGCAGGGGAAACAGCGTCATGCTGGTGGACTGTCTCCCACTGCCTGTCCCGCACACAGAGTCTAGCCCTTGCCGGGCTCCCTGTCAGATCTACTAGATCTTTGTTACCCCCCTTGAAAACCCACCAGGGATCCATCGCATCTGGCCCCAACCCCTTCTTCCTCTGTCCCCAGTCACCACAGCCCCTTTCCCAGAACTTGCGGAGTTACTTAAAATTGAAACAACTTATTTGCATACTTTTTTTTTCCCCACTGTAGGAGAGTTTTTCAGAAAACACAATAATTTTCAGCTCCCAATACAATTATTTCATATCGAAGACTTGGCAAAACTGGGCTTTGTCCACCTGGGGCTTAAAAAACGGAAGGGGGGGGGGGGGGAGCCGGCTCAGCCAGCTACAGAAGGGAAAGACAGCCGTCCTAGGGCTGCTTCTCCCCCTCTACACGAGAGGCAAAGAGTACACACGAAGGGAAGGCAGAAAACTAGTATCCAAGAGAGAAAAAGTAAAAAGTTAAAAAAACCAAAAATCAAATAAAAAAATGAGATAAAAATTAAATAAAAACATTAAAATAATAATAAAAATGAAAAGAGACACCCGGGACGTGACTCGGAGCTGGGGTGAGCGGAGCCCCCTGGTCCCGCAGGCCCCCGCGCCAGGCACTTCGCTAGCCCATAATAGGCGGCTGGTTGCC